TGAAGCAGGTATCATCAAACATACGTATATACGATTAAATGTAATCGCTATATTACGCGAATAATATATATTACGAACATTCAATAATGTGGGAGTTCAGCACTCAATTCATTATAAAACATTATACATTGTAACATTAAGTATATGATACAAAATATATTGTACACTAGAGTATACTCTGTTTCGTACATACGAAAGTAAGGAATTCTGATATTTCAACTTCCATACTTCTGATATCCATAAAACAGGAGGGAGGAATAAAGACTGCAGATTTTGTATTACGCAAAACAATATAATGTTTCAAAAAATGGTAGGAATAAAAATCTCTATTCTTTCAGTCTATTACTTTAAAACAGGCATATCAAACCCTTTTTGACTCTCTCCCATTTGTGATCGTAACACTTGTCATCATAACTCTACATCACTTATTTATTCCATCTCATTTGATACTGTAGTTTAAATCAACTCTCATTCATGCTCTTTTTGTGAAACAAAATAATCTAAACGGGAGTAAAGTGGGAGTAAAACAAATAGAAGATTCGACCATCTGGGCTGCAGCTGTCTTTATATTGGTTACAAGGCAAGACGGGCATGCGAAATGACCATGAAGAGCTTATTCTAAAGTAACAGATTAAATGTAATTTACGTATTATACCGTCGACCATGAAGCTGTCGCTGAGGTTTTGGTTTGGTTCATTTAATTATGGCAAAGCACACTAGGGTTATCTGCCTAAGGGAAGGGATGCTTTCGTGGAGGACTTTCTAATTGAAACTGACTCGTATACACGTTACACATGGAGAAAACCACGAAAACGCCCATGCAGCCAGCCCGTTCGCGGGATTCGAACCTCGGACCGAACTACCAGTAGCTGTCGCTAAGCAGAACGGTTTAGCGCCAGTTTTGGATAATCGTGAAGTAACAATACACTCATAATATGTGCGCTTTCGTTTGATATAACCTGCTTGATTCTCGATATGCTATGCTTTGTTTCTATGAAAAATAATATAAGTAAACTAATGTTGTATTTTTCTTGCATTTTGAAAAAATAATTTAAAATTTACCTGTCACCTACAAAACAGCTGCAGCAGATTATTGTTTGCTATGGAATCCAACAACAGAAAAAATGGGTATTAATCAACACGATGTAGTCAACTGAAAAGAGTTATAAATTGCAGTACTTATTTGTGGGAAATTTGTACTCGTATAGCTTCCAGTTAAGTCGGACAGCCTAACAAAATAGCAGAAATCATAAATTTGACAAAATCCTATTTACGAAGCTCGAAAACAAAGTGAGTCAAATACGGATTGTTTATTAAATAAAGAGGCGACAATTACTTCAAAATTCCTCAGGAAAGACTGAGGCGACTTTCGCAGGATCTCGGCCAAGTTTCATGGTTCGATGGTAGCCAGCTTTCACCGTTGATAAGATAATACGTAAGTACTGACTATAATAATATAGTTTCCAAGCACTTAATAGCACCACTACTCCTGTTTTAGGTACTTATTGTGATAAACATACTTTAAAAGCAGGAGAGTAATGATAGCACGTTAAAGAATAGCAGAAAATTTTAAAAAGAAGAAATATCGCTATGGAAATAAAGGTAAGATAATTATTACTCTTTGGTCACTAATGATCAAAATTATTTACAAACATATTTATGACAAGCGGGTTGAGGGGTACGTTAGGAATGTGATGGGTTTTCTATAACCTGAAGTCCGCAACAATCATTTTAATTCTTTGTGTTTAGTTACACTGGCTTGAAGTGAGCGTGTAGGGTATTGGGTCAGTTTGAGATGTTATATTCCAAATATATTACAGAATGTTGTTATTTCATTAGCATTTCAAAACTAGTAATTTGCAAACCTGATAGAAAATTTGTCTTCTGCTATCAACCTCGAATAAATGAAACCTCTAATATTGAATCAATGAGTACAGGAGCACAATTGTAATCTTTTGTTGACACACGATGTTCTGTCTCAAAATTAAGGATACTCTGAACAAAATTCTGCTATTTATGACGTTGGACAATAACTTCATATTTTTTACACAAATACATGAGCTATTAAATAAAAAAGATAGAATTCCAATCCTTGGACCTCAAACCTAAAGAAATAGTCCTGAAACTGAGTATTTAGAAAACTAGATTCCCTTTTACCAAACGATTGGCTTAAATCTCATTAAACCAAAAACGTATTTCAAATGTTCAACTAATTTTATTTACATCTTAGAATAAATACGTGCTATAACCACTAGAGAAATGTATCCCTACTTAAACGTGTCAAAGTTAGTAAAAGTAATTAATCAGCTCCTCTCTGCTGCATCCTGCGAGTTAGTCCGTCTGCAATTAATGATAAATTTTCTTAAATGCATAAAAGAGTGCAAAATGTCTTAAGTGAATTAAAATGATTTCTCAAATAAGCTGAAGAAACAAAATGCATGAAATCGGCTGTGCAAATAAAATAGTTCAAAGCAGCTTCAATCCACGGACATTATTCATTCTAATATTTAATTCTAACTAAAATGCATTTGAATAAAGTATCACATTTTCTACAATCATAGTATGCATTTTCTTTTGAAGTAAGTATAGGTGAATTAATAATAATCTTATAGTAAAACAACAGAACATCCAACAACAAATAATTTGTTAACATTATTTGTTTTCTTCCATGAGAGTTTGTTAGTCTCAAAGAATGTAAGTTTACCATGGATAACCACTAAATTGATTCTAAATTAGAGAAATGTATATAGCTATCTGACAAAGCTTGAAGTCATGTTTATTTAATCACTCCTTCATGAACAAAATTTCGTTCATGAAACTCTAATTTTCACGCAATAATTAAAGTTTAAACAAATGATTTAGTTTTAAAATGAAAGCAAATAAGGAAACACTAAGAAAAATCATTACAAATAAAACCCCAAAGACAAAATGCTGCCTTAATGTTTTACTATTATCATATTCTACTGTTCAGAAAATACTAAAGCAAGCTGAAATTAAAAGGCAGTTTGAAGCATTTTGCTGCTTTTAAGTCAGCATATCTAAAAAAAAGATGTATTAAGGGCTATGTGAAGGGAATAGCAAGTGAAAAAGAACATAACGAAAATATATTTGCCCTTTCCTATTGCATATTTTTTACTTAATCGGGTGCTGGAGACATACGATTAAATATACTTTGATATACCATTAGATATACTGTGGTACATTCACTTATTTTATTACAAATAAAAATAAAGCTTTTAGTATTTAATCTCTATACTAATACAGTTTGTTTTAATATGCTAAAGCAACTGAGTTAATGCTAAACATTTTATTGCTGTTTTATTATTACAAGTACCACATAAAAGCATTAAATATAAAAAGGTTTTAATAAAACGGCATAAGAGTGCAAAATATAACAAACACAGCAAATATTCAGTTTAGTATAATTTTTATCTTTCACAGCATGTGAAAAAAATGAGTGTCAGTACATACAAATGTTGATAACAGATTCGTAAAACAAAAATGTTATGTTTTATTCTTAGCATAGACATAGCTATGCTTCAAATAATTGAAACAGCGATTTAAAATTTGAATAGATATGGTAAAATTTCAGTATAAATCTGTAAACCTAAGGTTACATTCTAAATATTGAATTTCGATTAAAAAAAGTGTATTCTGTGAAATACTAGTCAAAACATACCAAATAACGTTTCAATAATTTTATTTATTGAGATTTAAATTTAACAAATAAGTGCAGATGAGAAGCTAAATTTTTAGTTAATGTACCATAAACTTCCGAATACAATGCAATTTGTAGCAATTTATTGGCATGCTTATTTAATATTCTTTGCAGATATTAAATATGAAATTGCTTTTCAAGTTGGTTAATTTATAAAAACTTTCTTTTTATACATACTTTACATTTTACTCGGTATCTTAAAAAAAACAGAGATATAATTCAGAATATACGTTACATTCAAATTATCACTTATTGAATATATATTAAACTAATCAAATAACGTTCTGGTACCATTAACATTATAAATAATAAGCTAACCAATAACACATATTATTTGTTTATTTGAAAGCCAATCAAAAATATTTCTTTACCAAAAATGTTTCATAAATTTTTAAGGCGATACGATGCAGATACTGCAAATTGCAAAAGAGAGAAACAAATTTTTAATTTAGCTAATTCTAAAAAAACATATTTCTTCTTTCTCCATAAATAAAAATAAATTATATCAGGGATTAAAGTGCTAAGTTTTTGTTCGCATATGTAACCAAGAACATTTTATTAACTTCACGTGAACTTATAATTTGTACAGTGCACTACAATGCACTTATAATCTATTGTTCGATTATATTCACAAACATCAGGTTGTCACCAAGAAAACGTGTATGTGAGACGAGCATATCTCCTGTATCCTGCAGTGAAAGTTGAAATAATAGTGAAACAGTTCTTCTAAAACAACCACCTCCGCAGAATCATCTGGAACTGTAGATGGTTATATTGCAGAGGATTCTTTGGATTTTGATAAAAGTGGCATGGAAGTGTGGGTAAGAGGTACACAAGTAGACAATTGCTACAGGATCTGCAAATTTTGGTTTAGCTATATATTTATATTTACTTTTTACAGGCTAAAAATATATAAATAAGAATTAGTGTAATATCTCTATTGGAATTGCTGTAATGTAGTAAAAACTACAATTGCTGTTAAAAGCTGATAAGTAATTCCTGGATATTAATTTTAGAGTAAAATCATACAGTTTCAATTTTATATTTTTGCACTGAAAGGTTTTCCAGCTTAGAAGAAGAATTACTTATGAACAGGAGAAATTTCGTAAATGGATTATGTCTGGAAGCGGGAGATCTGATGGGAATAAAATTGAATTTTAATTAAATGATTTTCTGAATTCATCTAATTTTGTAACCAAAAGAAACAGGTTAATGATCAAGCCGAAATTAGATACGAACGTTCTGTTCTGCTAGCAAACAAAATGTACTCTTGAAAGCTTACCTTGAATTTTCTCTGAATTATCTGTTAAAAATTTCAAAAGCTTCTACTTTAGGACGCTTCAATCATTATAGCACCCGCAAAGATGTCGAAGAGTGCTAAATCGAGTGTAGTTGCGAGCCCCTAAGTAACGTGCGCAGAGAGTGCCGGAGTCCGGCAAATAGAAGTCCGGGATCCTGTGTCGGAAAACCCGCAGCCGATATCGGAGCAAACGCAGAACGCGCGCGTTTTGTGGAAGAGGAATCTCGACTGTAGACTTCGTTCTGCGTCCGTCAGATGGCGCTGCGCTACAAGTTGTTTCGTGGATTTGCTTTTTCTTTAACTTTATTTGAATTTTTGCCGGGTTAACAGTTGAAAGAATTTCATCTCATTTGCAGATAAAATGAAAAATACATTTCCCCTTTTTCTTTTTCATCCACTTAACTAAGATATTAAAATCCTGAAAAAAAAAAAAAAAAAAAAAAAAACTAATGTAAATTATGAAAACACTACTTAAATAATACTACTTGGGTTTACGCGAAAATTTGTTTTAGAATTAATATAAACATATTCCAGCAAATGGTCTTGTCAAACATCAAAAATATTTCATTTCTTATATTCTTAAAAAATCTGTTTCAGAGAAAAAATAGAGAATTATATTTAAACTGTTTCATGAAAGTGAATTAACGTTTTTGCATGCAATATTATACATTCCTTCATGTCAAAATGAAATAATTAAAAAAATGCTGTGACTGTAACAGTCGGTAAAAATTTGAGTTTACTAATGTTGCTGGTATACTATGTCAACGAAACACTGAAAGTATTTACGTCAGTTTGAAATTTTTGTATTAACCTTATAGAGTCATTAGGTTATTTCAAAGCAGGAGAGATGAAAAATGAGCAATTCCATCGCCGGGATTCGAACCACGGACCTCTCAAATACGCGTCGAGTGAACTGACCACTACAACACGAAGGCATGATAAGAAGACGAGAGAAATACCTTATAACCTATTAATTAACATTTCGAGCATTGAGTCCGAAGGCATAAACACGCGTTTGCTCTATAATTGCCATACCATGTTTAATTTAATGCTACATTCAAGCTCAAACTGGCTTTTTATTTTTAAATTTAGACATTTTAAGGGCTCCAGGTACGAGAAGGTACTCCAAATACCTTCAAGAAGCAAAAATATGCTGCGCTGTTGGCTCTGCTATTAATGAAAAAACAAGGCTGGATTCCGGTGGAAAGTGCTGTCTTTTCTTGTACCGAAAACTTATGATAAAACTGGCCATTTCAAGTACGAAAAAATTAAGAATACAGATAACCAATCAATCAAGTATACTGAAGTAGAGAAAAGTGGCCTTTAGCTTTCGGCAAACCAGGGAGAAAATCTGAAGAAACAATAGCCATGATAGAAGGGCAGTAAATGGATGTGCATGTCAACGTAGAATGTTGAGACATCGCTGTTGTTTATACTGGGTCTCAATTGCTGTGTTTAACCCTTTGCGGCACAGTGTATCGGGTCTGGACACACCTAAAAATTTCCTTCTGTACGCACAGAAAAATTGAATGAAAAAGCATTTATAGGTTACTCTGAACCTCCTTTATTTATAGTAGATGGCAGTTCACCACAAACCAGTCCATATATTTTAGCTATGTTTAGTTTTTTAAGACCCTCATTTTTCAAAGAAACCTTTCAGAATTTTTTAGAGTATAAAAGGAACTGTTTGCAAAGAAATTTTTACGTTATTTTTTTGGCTGTATGCTAATCTCCTTATTCTATATTATTTTAAAAATTTTACCTTGAAATCTTGCCTAAAATCAAACGGCGAGCCCTTAGTGTGCCCAGAGCAGGCTCACCGATAATCTAGGACAACTGAGAGTCTGTATTCTTTGTTTCTTAGCATCTCATCGGTCAGTTCATTGACAACAGTGCTCGTTTCAGCACTCTTTTCGAAGCTCTATTCAATCAGTATGCCCACTTTGGGCACACCCACAGAATTAAAAGATAAGTGTTATCTTCACAAAATTTTACTTGTGTACTCCTCTAGGCCTAATTAGACTGCCTACATTTTTTTTTTATCAAAACTCCAACTTTAAAAGGAAGCGTGCCGGAAAGGGTTAAAGCATAAAAAATTCGGCTAATCTTTGGAATATGGTAACAGGTAGTTTGGCGACATTTTGGTAAGGCGATAAAGGTTACTAGGTAGGACTTTAGCAATAATCTGAGAAGTACACAGTTCGAATTACAGATTATTTTGTCTCAGAGAAATAAGAGATAATGAGACATGTCATGTGACATTTTCCGGAAAATTCCGATCGTGATTTTAGCTAATAAGCACTTAGAAACAATTTCGCTGCTAAAGTGCAGAATCGCCCACTTATTTGTTTGGCGCTTTTTACAAGAGTAAGAAAAATTGGATTTTTGCCAATTTTCTTTACCTTTTTAAGCGAAAATAGGTCGATGTGTACATGGATAAAGTCAAGAGTGTGCGCAATGCCATTTTCGTGCAATTCTGGGATATTTTTTTAAGTGAAAATAGGTCGACGTGTACATGGATACCGCGTATATGCAATTCTTAAAAAGCAGTGGGTGATTCTGCACTTTTTCCCAATTTCGCACCTAATCTTCGTCATAAGCACTTTTGTTCCATAAAAGTTCTAGCATAAGCGGAATTCGGCTAGCAGATTGTTAGAAAAAACGTTGAGTTAAAAAAAAGGAAAAAACATGTTTTTATTTCGTGATAATCCGTCCAAAAAAAAAAAAAAAAAAAAAACTAGCAGGTTGCTGTAGCAGGGTTGGTCGCCAACTTTTCGCCAAAAAATCGTAAAGTTACCATAATCCGAAGATTCACCAAAAATTCCTTGCAAGAGTCTGATATTGAAAACATCCGTTTTTTTTTTTTATTTTTTATTTATTTTTTTTTTTTAAGACAGAGTAAACCACTTCGGAGAGAAAGGAGATAAATTTCGTCTCTGGGTATCGAATTTCTAATCTATCGTCTCTGGATTTCTAATCTATGCAGTTGTGTCCGTACCCTGTAATTAGTTGGTTCAAATCTGTTTCATATAAGGTACGCATTTTTCTCTTAATCTTAATAAATTTTAAAATTTCTTATTTCTATCTGATTCACTCCAGAGCATGCTCCACTTGTTGTCAGCAACCTCTTTCAATAATGCTGCTGCTTTTTACGTGGAACCATGAATGTCATTTGAAGCCTCTTTTGGTAGCGCGTCAGCCCTCTCCTTTTCGATATACTCAACATGGACCTTAATCCAAGAAATTGAAGTACTGCAACATCTATCGTGTCTTTACGTTGTGACTGGTACCATTACAGGTAAACGTATGGGGGACGGCATTGATGTCCCACGAGTCTATTGGTAATGCCTTCCTATAAACTAACCCTTAATTTTTTCAAGCTTCATAAGAGTTTACAACGAAATGCTGCGATGAGCCAATGTATAAGGTATTTTTCCCGCCTTCGTGATGTAGTGGTCAGCACGCTCGACGCGTATTCGAGAGGTCCTCGGTTCGAGTCTTGGTGAAGGCATTGCTTATTTTTCATGTCTCCTGCTTAAAAAAAAACCTAATATCCCTATAGTGGCTCCCGAAATAAAGAAGGTGGTGGATGATAATTATCCACCACCAGGCTTCGGCGATTGGGTCCCTTAATCCCCAGTCGCCCTTTAAAGAGGGGGAGTATATAAGGTATTTCTCAAGCCTTCTTAACATGCCTTCGTGGTGTAGTGATCAGCACACTCGACGCGTATTCGAGAGGTCCGTGATTCGAATCTCGGCGAGAGCATTGCTCTTTTTTCATGTCTCCCGCTTCAAAAGTACCTAATGTCTCTACAACTGAAGCTTCCCAGAGTATCTATCCCAGTTTACCTATTATGGTACGTCGTGCAATCCCATTGCACGCATAAAATAATAATTTGCATCTCGTATAAAATAATAATTTATTATTAATATTAAGAATAATAATTTAGGAAATAAAGAGGTTACAATATAGCTTCAATATAATTTGAAATTCACAAATTAAACTCGTAACATCTCTTATAATGTAACAAAACTAACAGATAAATATAATGAGATAACTATAATCAGTACAGGGAGCACAATGTTATAATGATATGTACTAATAATAATAAAGAGGTGTCCACGGTGTCAAATTGTTTGAGAATAACATCAAAGAGTGTAACTGTGAGTAACCACAAAACACTACGTGTAAGAATAGGTAAGCTGAGGGATCTGAGGATGTAAACTGGGAATACAGAAAAATAATTTTGATAATTATTTTAATTTGATAAGATTTGATTTATTTAATTTGATAAATTTAATTTGATAAGAAAACAACACATACTTAAAATGGTATGCTGGAGCAGAATATTACAGGTTGTGAGGTTCATAAGTGGAATCCTTTGAAACAAATTCACGGAATGTAAAATTTAATTGAATTTATGCAGCATGAGGAACTTCTACTTACCAAAAGTAAGCCGTAAGAAGAGATACGTAGCATAATTTTTTTAAACTTTGAATACTGATGTTTATCTTTAATTAGAAACTTTTGAAATGCTAGGGAATTAGTTTGTAGGATTTGTGATTATCCTCAGTTAAGAGGCATAAGAAAGTGTCATGATCAGGAGTTCCCCGCATTAACAGATGTCGGATTTTATTCTCGGTTTGCAACAGAAGTTGAAACATGGATTCTCTCCTGTGACTTAAAAAAAGGAAATGGAAACATGGTATGGAAACGCAGTGGATCACCCCTACCAATAAACTCAGAAATGTTTCTGTCGGATTTTAGAATTATTTTTAATGATTACATGCCACATAATATTAAATAAACGGGTTTTTATTTACAAATCATTTAAGTGTTTATTATGCTAATTTTCCCTTAACTTACTTAAATTCTAAAGATCTAAATGTAGGGCTAATCACCAAATTCTAAATGCTAGGGCAAAATCAGCAAAAGAAATATTTGAAAGATTATTTACCATTAAGGAAAATTTTAATTTATCCTTTTAAATCCCATTTTAATTTGGCTGTATCGCCTTCCTATTCGAAATTATTCATAATAATTTTGTCGGACTGCGCCTTCCAAAATTTATTCCTGCAAGTAATCATGCTGCAATGCGGTAAGTTCTCAGCCAGCGAGATTAAAGATAAGATGATTTTATCATAAATATAAGTGCTATTATTGCCCATCCCCTTTACTCCTCTTCACTTGCTGCTCGCAACTGCGCTTCTCCAACTGCGGCTTTA